TTAAATTAGTTTTTCATTTAAATTCGGTCTACGCATATGATTTAAACTCGTCTTTCTGTTAAATTCGGTTCTTGAAAAATGGTCGGACTAGGATTTTTGCCTATTTAAGGCCGTTTTCCACAAGACGAAATATTCGCGCGAAGCGAATTTTTTCGTCATTTAACATTTTTGGTAATTTTTCTGATTTTTTTTTCGCTACAGCGTTTCGTTGCAGCGAAAAAAAGTTGGATTCAAGGCCGTTTTCCACAAGACGAAAAGTTCGCGCGAAGCGAATTTTTTCGTCGTTAAGCATGCGCAGATTAAACATTTTTGGCGATTATACTGCTACATTGTTTCGCTGCAGCGAAAAAAAAAGTCGGATTCATTTCGACTTTTTGCGAATCGACATAAGCGAAACCCAATCAAGTTTTGAATATTATATCACGTGGTGTCAACATTTAAAAAAAGCGAAAACATGTTTTTAAAGTAACAAAAAACAAAATTCTTAACCTAGCGTTCTTATTAATTTTATATAAACTTACTCTTAAATTTGGCAAGCATGAGTAAATTCATCAAACAAGGGGCAAGACTTACATAAAAAAATGACCAGATTTATATAGAAAACTAAATCGAGAATTTACAAATATAAATTTTCACACTGTCAATAACAAAAGTTACACTTCATAAGAATATTTATCTTTAAGTGGCTACGCGAAGATAAATCTTTTTGTGAAAAATTCTACATAGAGTTAAACCTGCTGTTCCTTCTTGCAGTAACAGTTTTTTAATCGAAATGTTCATATCAGAGTTTAGCATTTATTTTCTTATACTTTTTGTAAAAAAAAAACCTTATATTAAATGATTATATTACAAAATAATATCACATCTTACATATAAAGGCAGAAATTGCTTCCGAAACAATAAGAACGTTCTAGAACTTGTTCAATTTTTTTTTTAAAATATTCCAAAAGAATTTCCTATTTAGAAAGTAAAGAGGTACCCCGATATGTATTTTATTTTATATCTCTTACTTATGCGATACAATCATCATCACTTGAATCAAAATTTATTAATTTTGAAGTATACTAGTTACCAACAATGACACTTATTTTTGGAATAATGTTTCTAGCTTATTTTGTGCGATTGACAATTCCTCTCCCTACAGAAAGTCTCGTCGAATGCGTCGATGACGACAAGTTTAAAACTTCAGATGGTTCTTATTTACAATGCAAACTTTCTTGTCAGTGTCCATCTGATAATCAAAAGGAGGTTCATATATCTTATGCAGGATGTCAGAAATGTTGTTGTAGCAATATGGATTATAAACGTATTGAAAAAGATCTTCTAGAGACCAACAAAAGTATATTTGTGTTTATGTTTTATCGTGAACTTTTTATTATATTTTATTATATATACTTTTTTTTTTTTTTAAGGTATATTTAAAAATTAAATTATTTTAGGCCGTATGTATATATATATATATATATACATATATATATATATATATATATATATATATATATATATATATATATATATATATATATATATATATATATATATATATATATATATATATATATATATATATATATCAGTAGCGTAGCGAAGGGCCCGCAGCCGCGGGGAGGCCCAGAGTTATTAGGGGCCCAAGGCAATAAAGAAAAAGTTAAAAAAAAGTGTCAGTACAATAAATAACATGCGTATATCATTAGTTTGTGTTTTAGAATACCGTTTTTTTATTTTCATGTATAACTTATTTGTCTAGAAGGAAGGTAAAGGCAAGGTGGTGGTGGGGGGGGGGGGGGAAGAAATAGAAAAGAAGTAATTTAGGGGCTCGGATTAAATTTTTGTGGGGGGGCCAATTTTTTGTCGCTACGCTACTGATATATATATATATATATATATATATATATATATATATATATATATATATATATATATATATATATATATATATATATATATATATATATATATATATATATATATACACATTTTAATCTTAAACATAGTCATTAACCAAAGTAAATCAAACATTTTATCTCTAATTCATGGGTATGATTTTATTACCTTCCCAAAAGATAAGGCAGAACTATTATTTGCAAATAACTTTCCTCTATTTTGACTCTTGAATCTAATGGTCTTACTCTTTCTGCCATTCTAGTTAATCAGGTTAACCTGTTTTTAGATATTCAAATCACTCTGACAACATTCTTTTTGTGGTCTTACATAATTGCCTACCAAAATTCTTTTCAATTCTAAAGTATTTGATAAGTGCTTGACTGAATGCCTGCCTGCTGAAAAATAGCATCTGTGGTTCCAACTTTAAAAAACTCTAGGAAACTCTCTGTCTTCTATAGCATTCGATCAGCCTTTTCTATTAATAACAAGTAATATTATTATAACAAATGTAATATTATTTTTATAGTACCATTTTATTTTTACACATTTAAATAAAAGATGGATTTATATATATGTTTGATGTTTTTTTATTTAAAAATGTATTTAATACGAAAAAATGTTTTACTTAAATTTTTTATAAGTAATCTTTTTTAGGTAGTTTTTATTATTTTTTTTATTTATAACCTTTAAATAAAGTTCAATAAAAAAAGTTTTTAACTTAGTTTTGTAGGCTTTTTGTCGATTCGTTTTTGATTTTTTGATTTTTATATTTTTTACATCAGATTTTTTACTTTTTATTTTGTAAATTTATTTTGAATGAATAAATTAAAACTTTTTAATACCTGTTGTAATGTTTAACACTTGTTATTATATGCCGTTCAATTTCATAGATTGCAGGATGCTAACCAATCTTATTGGTTAGCATTCTGATGGGTTGTATCTACAAGTTAACAGTATTTTTTTATTTTATAAAGAAATATAATTCTATGATTTATATAACTAATAATTAATATGAAAATTTTTCTAAATGGACTAATATCGGTTTTTAACATACATCATTTTTATTTAAGTTTTTATTTTTATTAATCTTTTAAATATTAAAGAGTATAAGTTTTTGATCAAAGTGTAAAAACTGAATTTTTTTTTATATCGAATATTTTTCTGTAATTTACTTTCCTAGATAGGGAAATTTGATACACTACGTTTTCCTTGGAACTCTACACAGTGGAAGGGAATATTATTTTTATGCCAAAACTATGTTTGTGGTTTTTGTTATTATAATTGTTATAATTAAATTATACTAGCAGTAAGCAACCCGTAATACGCGTTGTTAGTAAATAAAATTAAAAAAAACCGCGAATAGAAAAGCCTAGAAACTACTTTAAAATAGAAAAGTCTAGAAAATGACGTAATTCGACTAATAATATTAAATTAGCGTATTAATATTAGAAAAGTGGGGATAAAATTTAAAATTATTACAATCAAAAGTGTGTAATGATACACACTTTTGATTGTAACAATTTTTTAATACGCATCTCTTTTTAGTCGATTGTTTTAATTTGTAGAATAATTTATACCGTATTTAAATATATAAATTAAATTTGAGAATTACCAAAATATAATAGGCTAAATTTGTATAATTGTGTCTCACTCTTCCCTAAACAAACGCGATCGCGTAATTCTGTGCGTCAAACGTGCACGCTAGCACACATAAAACTCTTAATATGCAAAAAAAAAAAAGGAAATATTAAATGATTTTTACGTTTTAAGATACTAACATATTAAACTATTGACTTTTTTCATGATTTGCAATGCTTTCATATTTCTTATGATTTGCAATGCTTTTATATTTCTTATGATTTGCAATGCTTTCATATTTCTTATGATTTGTAATGCTTTTATATTTCCTATGATTTGCAAAAGAAGGGTCAAAAGATTCTAGCAAATGTTATTTAACAGTGGGTTCTTTTGAAAATAGATTAATAATTAGTTTAATCAAAATAACCGTGGAACTTTTTATTTGCTACCACATATGTTCATAACTGAATCGCTTTTTGTTAAAAGGGCGTAAGTCAAGTATTTTAGTAAAATAAGTTTGATATGGTTTTGGATTTTAAAGATGAAATTTTTGGATTTTAAAGATAAAGTTGCAATTTTGAGCAAGTCGAGCAATCTGAAAGGGAAAAACATCGATATAAACGAGGATTTCTGTTCTGAAATAACGCAAATCCGGAATAGTTTGAGTCAAAAATGAAAATTAAACGAGCAGCTGGTAACCCAGCAGGTACAATGACGTTGAAATAACGTTGAAACAACGTCGCAAACCGACCATATACCACGTTGAAACAACGTTGAAATTTGGTTGAATTGGAAATAAAATCCGACGTCGAAAACTACGACGTTGAAACAACGTCGATGATTACGTCGTTTCAACGTTGATCTAACGTCTTATCGACTATATATCAACCATATTTCAACTTTGAATAGGTGATATATTCGATTGATACGTAGTTGATAAGACATTAGAACAACGTTGAAACAACGTAAATTCAACGTTGATTTTTGTTTTTTATTTTGGTTAAATCCAATTAACTAAAAAATTATCTCAACTTTAATTGCAATAAAATAATACAATAAAAAAGCAATAATTTGCGCAGAGGATATTATATTTCACGTAAATTAATCAGATACAACTAAATTGCTTCAACGGACTTTATATACAATGCAAAAATGTTTGAAAAAAAAAAGTTTTATTTATCAGTAATATATTTATCAATTTATCAATAATAACTATTATCAATAGTTCCAGAACAACTAGGAAAAAGTATGAATGTTATACATCGGGTGAATTACCTTTTACGCGCCGATCACCACCATTTGATCTGTCGAGTGCGTATTTTAATAAAGTCATTATTCTTTTTCTTATTTCGGTAACTGTAGCAGTCACTTTAATTGACAAAACGCTCTCTATAAAAAAGGTATTGCCTGAGTAATTTGCATCAAATACATCAAAAAGTTAAAAATAAAATAGCATTAAAAAAACGAACTGTGATTTTTAAAAAATATATAATTTTACACTTAACTTACAAGTAAATACCTAATGTTTGTTCCTTTAAACTTCTCTTTACCTTTACCGCCAGCCATATTAAATTTTGATTATAAACCGTTGGTCAACAACCTGCATTATACATTGTTATTATTATTACAGTTACATTAAAAATTGCTAAAACTAAGTAAAAATAGTATCAAACTTTTTATATTTACCAGTGTCATTTTCTTTAATATGACTGTAGAATAAACAACCAAGTTCACACAAATTATAATTCTAAAATAGAATTTAATGAGGAAAAAATTCCTTTAATTTTTATGTACTTTTGAAAAAAAACTTATAAAAATAATAATATTTTTATAAAAGTTCTGAAGACTCCTACAAAAATTGCTATAAAAGTTTTTTTTTCAAATATGATAAAGACTTTATAAAGAAATTTTTACACAAAGTAGAGAAATTAATCAATAAAAAGTTCTGAAAAAAGTTAATAAAAAAACTTTATTTTTAAACAAAAAGTTCAACATACTTTACAAGTTATGAGACACTTTGTCAGGTTAAAAGTTTGATTAAGGTTGCATGCTGTCATACACTAAATATAAAAAAAACGAAACACCTGTTAAACTAAAAATTAATTTTTATTATTAGAAACAAGCCTTAGAAGAAATAATGTATATTTAAATTCTGTAGAATGGTAAAATCGTCATCGTCTCATATAAATTTATTACAAATGTCTCCTGATTTCTTATAATACTTAATTTTGTAAACTACACCAACAACTTCTATAACTTCTGCTAAATAAAGCCTCTAGGCTTTATCTAGGCTCTACCTAGCTTTATCTATTTTATTTCGGCCAACTTGATGATTAAAAAACTCAGAAAAATTTTACTTAAAGTAAGTATATTTACTCCAAAATAAATTTCATCAGAACTTTCATCATTTAAAAACTAAAAGATAATTTGTTTTGTTATTTTAGGTGTATCAGTTAAAATATGCAATTTTCTTTTACACCTATTATGTGTTTTTTTGTATTAGTTGTTATTCTTAACCTGGCTTTGGAATGAGGTCGTATTATTTAGGTAAAACAATAAATAATATTGATGGTAAACTCACAGGAGCCCTTTCTCATAAATTAAATGATGTCGATGGTGAAATGGCAGGAGCAGTTTTAACACCAATACTATCATTAGAAATAGAAACTTAAGTATTCACTATTGGCCTATCAGTAAGATTTGCAGCTAAAATATTTAAAGCAATAAAAATTCTTTCACCCATGTTCCCCAGGGCTGTCCTGAAGGGGGCAAAGGGGTGTCTAGCCCCTGGTGATTTGTCATTTTTTGTTAGTTATTCTGGAAAGACAATCTGGTGATCAACTTTCTGGAGGAATATATTGGTTTCCTACTTATAATAAAAGTAAGTTTTAAATGTCTTTTCCAAAATACGGTTTCTTACCAAACCGTAATGCAAGTAAGAAAAAGAATTGATACAGGGAAAGAGTTTGGTCCAAGGAGACCACCTTCTAAACGCAAGAAAACACCAAGAGCGGACAGTATAATCAGAAATATCTGCCTGTAAAACAGAAAAAAGCCACTAAGCTTACCCATGAAGCTGTAATTGTTGTGTCAGACCGGACCATTTGTAGAAGGCTAAAAGAAGAGGGACTGATGTCCAGCCAAAAAAGTCAAAAAGTGACAAAAAAATTCAAAAATATTAAAAATAATGTCAAAAATCTTATATTTATGCAAGATGGTGCAACATGCCACACAATAATAACTGTTATGGCTTAGTTGATGTATTGCTATGGCCAGACAATTCGCATGATCTTAATGCCATAGAAAACATTTGGGAAATAGTACAGCAAAAGATTGGGAAAAAAAAATCTTACTAATAAGCAAGATCTTATGGAAGAGATTATCAAGATCTGGCATAATAACCCAGAGTTGACAAAAACTATAAAAAATAAATTGCAAGCATGCCACAATGCAATGAAGCAGTTATTGCAAATAAAAGTGTTTTTGCAAAATATTTATACTTTATATATATTTTATATAATTTATCATAATAATCAATAAATATTCAAAATGTCTATCTTTATTTATTTATTTTTATCAAGTACAACTTTATAAATAAAAGAAAAAACTTTAAATTGAACCATTATTATATATATATATATATATATATATATATATATATATATATATATATATATATATATATATATATATATATATATATATATATATATATATATATATATATATATATATATATTTATATATATAATATATTCATATAAGCACATGTATGTATATATACATGCATATATATGTATGTTTATTTATGTACATATATATGTATGTATATATAGAGTAAAAAATAAGGTTAAGTATGTGTTACAAATCAACCTTTGTTATTTAAAGTTGTTCTTTAGCTCAAGGAAATACAAAAGTAAGAGAAAACAGTTACAAAAAAAATTATAATCAGACATAAAAAAAAAAAGATTTATTTTATGTCTGATTAGAATTCGTCAAACTTTTAAAAATATATGCTACACAGATTTTTAACACAAGTTTAAAACAAACTATAATAAAAAGATTCAAAAGATTTTTTATTTAAAACTACTTTTAACAAACCTTTGCATCACATTTATTTGTATTTGTCTTAATGGTTTTACCTCCAATTTCAGAAAGTTTGTTAACCTAAAGATTTAAGAAAATAATTACACCACATTATTTTTAAAGTATATTTATAAAAAGTTACAAGTAGATTAACTTAGGCTAAGTTATTAATAAATACTTAATCAAAAAACAATAAAAAAACCTGCAAAAAGTCATGGTTTGAAACAACTCATCACTTCTGACCTCAACCAAGAATCATTTAAACTGTTATCATAATCATTAAATTACTGCTGCAAGTTCATCCATAGAATTTCAGAACTATTTGTCATAATATTACTTTAATTACTGGAAAGAGTTTTTACTAACATCTCTTTCTAACAATAAAGATATATCAGAAAGACAAAAGAACCAAACATTAATTAATTTCTAAAAGCGTTGAAACACAAGAACAAAAAATTTATAAAATAAAACATTATTCATAAATTAAATAAAATGTATTAATTTAGCAACCAAAGAAATGTGTAAATCACTGAAGCATAGAAAAAAATGTTCAAAATCTTTTCTTCCTAAATCAACTTGCAGACAGACAATTAATACCTTGAGCTACAGTATGTGGAGTATGCATAAAAATTGTTTTCTGTTTCTTTTTTTTGCGTTACAGGAGTAAATATTTGCTTACTATTCTGTTGGTTACTATGTTTTCTCTTGCATAAGCATGGTAGTGGCTTCTATAAAAATTAATATCAAAATATAACTAATAATACTTGAATTAAGTATCTTTTGAAATAGTTACCGTTTTCTGAACCTGATTCTATCTGAGTATCACTAGTAGAGGCAAATTCAAATTTATTACATAACTCATGATCTAAGAATATTCATTCAATTTAAAAATGTTTTAAATGCATTATATAATAAAGAATATATAATAAAGAATATATCTAAACACTGAAAACAACATATACAGAATGAAAGCATGTTAAAAAAACAAGGAAAAAAAAGTAACGACTTAAGGTTTATATTAAAAAAAAATTACATTATCTCCATGACATTTAATTTTGAGCAGCGTAAATCTGTATTAGTTAGATGCGGTTTATGCATTTCATTGAAACAACTTATTACATATAATGATGGCCAGCACAAAAAATTATCAATCGAATTTTCTCTCTTTATTTCTCTGTATTTTCTATCCAAACAGCTCGAATGAACATTTTGCATGCCCTACAATACTTTTCCAACTGGAAAAGTATAGTAGAAAATTATATAGAAAAAATACTTATATATTAAAAATTTGTTCATGTAAAATAGCTAACAGAAAAATACAACTTTAAACTGCACGCTATAAAACATTATATAGTTGCTAAAATTTGCTAAATTTTTATGTTGATCCTTCTACCAACCAATATCATGGACTAAAGGAGCATGCACAAATTCTTTTTTATACAACTTTACAAGAAAAATCTTTAAAAATTTAATAAAAATTTTTTAATATAAAAAATAGGCCGTGGATAGAGTGCCGAAAGTCGGCACTCTAACGAAATATGCTTATAGTGCCGGAAGCCCGTTTATTGGTTAAAAAAAATCACGTGCCAAAACAAATTCCGATATCATATATTTTAAATTCCAATCATTGGAAAAATATTTGAACTATATATTGGAAAAATTTCATTTCATTTATACTTTGAAGATGTCAACTAGTTTTGCATGCAAAGATATTTTTTTATCATTTGAAGATTTAAAATCTACTATTAAGAAATATGAAGATTCTCATTTTGTGCAGTTGTGGATTCGTGACGCAAAAACAATTGAAGCAGCTCGAAAAACCATTCCAAGAAAAGCTGCTTCAATAGCTCCACAGATAAAGTATTATTATATAAAGTACTGTTGTATACATGGCGGAAAAAAGTTTACAAATAAAGGCAATGGAAAACGTCAAACTTCGTTAGTAGTTGTTTTATTATAATAATTTATTATCATTAATGAAAAGTTTATAATAAAATAAGATTTAAAAAATAAATTGTTAATAACTTATTTGTGCATAGGAAATAAACCATGTTCTAACACAAATGTTTTATTTCATCAAAAGTTAGAATATTTATTTCATGAAAAAATAACTAATTTTAAACATGCTTATTATAGGACTTATAAAAAAGAGTGTCCATTCTTCTTAAGTTTTAAAGCATCAGAAGATGGACAAACATTAATCTTGCAAGATTTAAACAATGAACATAATCATGAAGTATCTGAGGTAAGTTATAAGTACTTATAAAATTTTTTTTTGATAAAGACCATTTATTTCAGGTTCCTTATAGAGTGGTTGAAAAAGGGAAAATAATTAAAACTACACCATATATTTCAAGTATTTGTAAACATTGTTAATATTTATTATCAAAAAGAAAAATCTGAAACATTGTGTTAAAATTAGGAAAATATGTTCCATTTTCTCATGGCATACCTGTTGTTGATTTTATGATACAATCTCCTGAAAAATGTGAATTGAATCTTGAAATGTCCTGGAGTTTCATTTATATAAATGCCCAAAGAAGTTTCTGCCCAAGAAGTTTTCCAAGTGACATCCAAAATTCTTTGTTTCTACGACTTAATTCAGTTCTTAATTTGTTCATTCGTCTGGTATCAACAACATGGTCATAACCTAAGATCAGTCACTTACAACAACTTAACTATTCCACTAAAACAGACAACTGAACATGGAATTAATTCGATTACATACCAGTGTATCCTTTCTTGAAACACCCTTCCGAACACCCTAAAATCAGATTTCATCCCTAGGTCCAAGAATCTGTTCTTAAGGTCACTCCATCATTTCTACCTAAAAAGTTACACTTAACTTCATTCTTTACCTCTATAACTTTTTTTTTTTTTTTTTATGTGTGTGTGTGTGTGTATAAGTACATCTTATAATTTTTTATTTGTGCATGTATATATATTAACACATTATAATAAATAATTTACCTATATCTTACCTTAAGTTCTGTTTTATGGGTGTTGCTGTGAAATTCTACTTTTATTATGTGGTTAATTTATTTCTTTTATTATTATTATTAATATTATTGTTGTTATTTGTTTTTTCTTTATCTTATTTAGGTCATTGCGTTTTATTAGTAAATCACCATTTGCAATTACACGTGTTTTTGTAAAATTCTTATTAACACAATATATATATATATATATATATATATATATATATATATATATATATATATATATATATATATATATATATATATATATATATATATATATATATATATATATATATATATATATATATATATATATATATATATATATATATATATATATATATATATTGCTTGATTATTGAATTTTGTGACTGCCAAGTAACCTGGAAAGGTGTCAGGATTAGACCATATTAAATTATATGTTCTGTTTATTTTCTTTATTATAATGAATAAAGAATTGCTTTTTAAAATAGATTTTGTATAAACATTTACCAAATCAAAGAAGACTTCCCAATTATGCTATTGCAAAAGCAGAAATCTTGTTACGCTTAAAAGCTAATAAAAAACTTCTACAACAAGAATTGTCAAAAGAGACTGGAAAAATGATAACTCTTCGTGACTTATCAAATATTGCTGCTTCTGCGTGCAAAAGTGATACCCGAAATAATTTAACAAGCTTTGTTAAGACTTTAAAGGAAAAATACAGTAAGAAAGTTATGAAATAAGATTTTAACATAAGTAATAAAATAATAATTTTTTTTGTAAATTATCATATTTATAATTATTTTCATTTTTGATTTTTATTTTGTTACATTTTGTGCATGCTCTTTTTTCAAATATATATGTTTATATATATATATATATATATATATATATATATATATATATATATATATATATATATATATATATATATATATATATATGTATATATATTTATAAATATATATACATAAACATATACATATACATATACATATACATATATATATATATATATATATATATATATATATATATATATATATATATATATATATATATATATATATATATATATATATATATATATATATATATATATATATATATATATATATATATATATATATATATATATATTTATAAAATTTTCAAATTCAAACATTTTAAAAGACATATATTTTGGTTGGGGAGGGAATACATACCCCTAATCCCCCTAGATTCGTCACTTTATAAATATATGTATTTTAGATGCTAATGTAGATGTTTTAACGGATGCAGAAAATAATTTACAAGGGCTTTTTTTCCAAGATATTTCAATGCATAGTGTTTACAATGCATATCCTGAATTTTTATGCATGGATGCAACTTATAAATTATTAGAAATTCATTTGCCAGTATATATTCTGCTATGTGAAGACGGAGCTGGTTAGTTTGGATTGCTTCTTTATATAACTTTAGTTACTAATTTTAATTTTGGTTACTGTTTTTTTTTTTTGTTTGATTGATTTTTGAAATTAGCTTTAGCTTTAAAATTTAGCTTGTTACTACAAATTAAAATTTAGCTTGTTACTACAAATATTTTTCATAGGTGAAAGTGAAATAGCAGCTGTCGGTTTGCTTGCACGTGAAGATGCTGCATCTCTGAGGTATGATTTATTAACTATATCTGGCTTTGATGAAATTACTTTATAACAGATAAAACTAATATTAAATAAAACCATCTGACAGTATTAGGTGTCCTTGAGTCACACACCAAAAAATTCTTACAAAAAATATACATAGAAAATAGATTATGTGAAAGCTATGAAATTTTTTGTACATAATTTTTAGTTGGTTCATTGAAAGATTCAAGAGTTATAATATTTCTTGGCCAAAGACAAATGTTTTCATGACAGATAAAGACTTGAACGAAAGAGATGTATTGCGTGGTGCTTTTCCGGGGGTATCTCTATTACTCTGTTTATTTCACACCCTTCGGTAATAGTCATTGTTTATATGTCACTAATTATTTGATTAAGGAATATTCTCTTGTTCTGATTCTAGTTACGCTTTTTTTTTAATTTGTACCTGTATTTATTGATTATCTACAGAATCTTATAAATTTTGAGTTTTCTAATATGCCAACACCATCTTGTCTTTCAGAACTTTTAGTCGTGAAATTACAACTGCCAAGCTTGGGATTACAAGTGGGGAAAGAATTTCATCTCTTGAGTTTATTCAGAAATTGGCCTATGCTACCTTAGAGAAAAATTATGACGAACTATATAGACTATTTGTTTCATCAGCTCCATCCACTGTTATAGATTGTTATAACAACAATTGGCATAATATTCGTGATGAGTGGGTTTTTGGTCTAAAATTTGTGAGCGGAAACCTCATGAACAGCACCAATAACCGGCTAGAAAATTTCAATGGAAAGTTAAAAGAAGTCATTGACTGCAATAGCTCTTTAGAAAACTTTCTTGATAAATTCTATGTTGTTCTAACATCAATGCGCAATGAAAGAGATCATAGGACCATTTTTCAAATGCAAAAAGTTTCTGTTGATGTGTTTGATCCTAATTCTGCTGAGGCAGCTTATAAAAAAGTTTTGACATTGTATGCTGCTCGACATGTTCTAAAACAAATGAGCTTGTTTAAAGAAATTATATTGTTACCAGGAGAACATGGCCAGTTCATAGTAAACAGCCATGAAGGTAGTCATATAGTGACTTCAAATTTTTGTTCATGCATGTTTCGAAAGTCAATGAACTTACCATGTCGACACATATTTGCTGCTCGCCAGTTGCTTGGGATAAATTTATTCGATACTGAGTTGTGTTCTGAGAGGTGGACATTAAAGTACTATTGTCAACATCAACGGGCCTTTAGTACCCAAGTCACGGATGGAAAGCCTGGAGCTGTAGATTTTCATGTTGCTCCAAAAGTAAAAGTGCATTCTCAGCATGAGAAGTTTAAACTTGCCATACAGGAGACATCACTTCTTGCTACCCTTGTATCTGAGTCCACTTGAACAACGTCTTAGTCTTTTGCGAACTTTAAGTAAAGGTTGGTCAGATGGAAAGGTAATGGTACTTAACGAACTTATTGAAGAAGATGATTTAGTAACGTGTGAACAAATATCTAAACAAACAGGAATATCATCTCATACATCAATAGCAGCAACATTAGTTTTTTCTGATGTTAATTTAACAACATTTTCTGCAGTCGGAACAGTTAATTCAACTTGTTTACCTGTTAGTGTTGATGTATCAACCTTACAAGCTGGTATTTGTTCAACAAGTTCTTCTACTACAGTTAGTGCATCTAAAAACGTTGCTAGCACATATTCAATAAATTCATTGGAATGTGCAGCACACGTAAACGATGAAGTCACTTTAATAGTTCCAAAAGTACTCAATAAAGAAAGTATATCAGTGTCACAGATAGGTGCACAATATGAAATTATAAATAACAAATTTTTATCAGAGCAAGCTGAAATTGCAGAAAAAGAACCATATCAGCAAGAAGAGTTGACATCTGGGAAGAGTGATGCAGGTGCAGGTTAATGTATAGTAGTATAATATTGGTAAAACAACAAATAAATTATTTATAGACTTCATTAACTTCATTTTATTTTATTGTAGATTCTTTTAATTTACTAATTTTATTGTAGATTCTTACTTGGCACAGATTCACGTGCCTAAACGTGTCAAACACTGTGGGCGTCCTAAAGGTTCTACTTTAACTACTATTGGTCTACCTAAAAAACGACAATGTCAGTTGCATGAAGGGCTAGTACCTTTTTTAAAACTTCATCCGTCTAAAAGACATGCTAGTATGTATAACCAATTTTGTAGACTGCAACTTGTAGTTTACTTTATTGATTGGTATTTTTTAAGTTTAATGTACTAGCTAAATTTTTATTTCCGGCTAATTAAATAATACTGACTATATATTTTTTTTGTAGTGATGCTGGGTTGGTTTTTGAAACCAGATGATGTCCAGAAAGCTCTTTCTGGCATTCTTATACAGAGTAGTTGTATAGAAAAAAGAGTGAATTGTATTTCTTCAGCTATTCTTGATGAAAGTGCTCTAGGATCTCTTTTGTCTCTGCAATCATATTTTACTGCAGATGGATGGAAAGTGCTCAATGAAATAATTGATGTCAAGTGTCAGCAACGAATTTGGCCTTGTGCTTTGTGCCAAAAAAGCACTTCCGTGGGCAATGACATTGGGGGCTCAATAGCATGTGATTCCTGCCTTTTGTGGTTTCACAAAAAATGTGTTGGCAAGAAAGAGGGTTGGTTTATAAAATCAAAATACTGGTTTTGTCGTTTTTGTTCAACTGTTTGATTGGAAATTATACATGCCTTTGTTTTATTTGGTATTAAATGGTTTACTTTATTGTTGTATTTTGTGTCTGACACATTTTAATATTTTTACAAACATTTTTACAAATATTTAAATAGCAAAACTTCTATGCAGTTTTAATACTTTTTGGGTTTCCAAGTGGTGTTTAATTATGTTCCCAACTGTTGATAAATGTATTTTATTATTACAATTATTATTATTATTATTATTATTTATTCTTCAATCCTTTAAACGTATTCAAAACATGCAATAATCTTAACATTAATATGCCAGTTAACATTTAATACCACAAACAAATCGTAATCGTAAATAATGTAGAGCTAGTTTAGAGTTTTTTCTTTACTTGAGCTGCAATTAACTAGTTAAATTAATATTCATGCATATAATAATCAGTTTAGTTTTAGAGCTAGTTTAGAGTTTTTTTCTTTACTTGAGCTGCAATTAGTTAGTAAAATTCTTATTCAAGTATTTTATGATCAGTTTAGTTTTAGAGTTAGTTTAGAGTTTTTTTATTTACTAAAGCTGCAATTAATTAGTTAAATTAATATTCATGCATATAATAATCAGTTTAGTTTTAGAGCTAGTTTAGAGTTTTTTTCTTTACTTGAGCTGCAATTAACTAGTTAAATTAATATTCATGCATATA